AGGCTGGTCTTGAACTCCCGACCTCAGGTGATCCACCCATCTTGGCCTCCAAAGTGCTTGGATTACAGGCATGAGCCACCATGCCCGGCCGCTTGATCCATTTTTTAACGTGGTTATTTGTCTTTTTCATACCATCATTTCTGCGTTATTGCTCCTGCATTCTCTTTCAGTTGTCCAGTTACTGTACTTTAATTTCTGGAATTTACACTTGATTCTTTTTTTTCTTCTTTTGCTGCTGCATTAGAGCATTTTAGGGGATGAAATACACTAGGTTCTTTTCTAGATTTCTAATTCTTTCTTAATATTCTCTATTTGATGGGATGTTGTTATCATACTGGACTTCTTTACATTACAATAGCTGTTTTAACATCTTTGTCTGTTAAATCTGACATCTGGTTGCTCTCCCAGGCAGTCTCTGTTGCAGCTCTGGCTCCCCGATCCCCATGCTGTGGGTCATTCTTGTTCTTTTTTTCTTTTTTTATCATGTCTTATAGTGTTTTGCTGGGAACTAGGTGTTTTAGATAATAAATGTTTTTGAACTAAATACTTCAGATAATAAACTGTAGCACCTCTGAGTACTGGCCCCATGCCTCTCCCTTTCAGGGGCTTGTTATTGCTCTTTGCTTATTTGTTTAGTGTCTGTTGGAGATACGGTCTCACTCTGTTACCCAGGCTGGAGTGTAGTGGCCTAGAGGCCCCTACAGTTCCTAGAGGCCCCTCTGTAGTTCCTAGAGGCCCCTACAGTTCCTAGAGGCCCCTCTGTAGTTCCTAGAGGCCCCTCCAGTTCCTAGAGGCCCCTCTGTAGTTCCTAGAGGCCCCTTCAGTTCCTAGAGGTCTCTGCAGTTCCTAGAGGCCCTTGAAGTTCCTAGAGGCCCCTCTGCAGTTCCCAGAGGCCCCTGCAGTTCCTAGAGGCCCCTCTGCAGTTCCTAGACTTCACTGCAGTTCCCAGAGGCCCCTGCAGTTCCTAGAGGCCCCTCTGCAGTTCCTAGAGGCCCCTCTGCAGTTCCTAGAGGCCCCTGCAGTTCCTAGAGGCACCTGCAGTTCCTAGAGGCCCCTACAGTTCCTAGAGACCCCCTTGCAGTTCCTAGAGGCCCCTCCAGTTCCCAGAGGCCCCTGCAGTTCCTAGAGCCTCTCTGCAGTCCCCAGAGGCCACCTGCAGCCCCTAGAGTCCCCTACTGTTCCTAAAGGCCACCCACCCTGCAGTTCCAAGAGGTCCTCTACAATTCTGAGGTCCCCCTGCAATTCCCAGATGCCCTTCTGATAGAGGCAGGAGGCAGAGAAATTCTAGGCAAACAGGGGTGGGTCCCCAGGAAAATCCCACCTTTGAGCCAAAAAGCCTGAAACCCAGGATCCAAAGTGTGAACTTCTATTCCTGTTTGGCTGCTCTCTCATGATTGGTTCTTTCTGAATAATATCATATACCAATTGAATGCTGCCTTTTCCAAAAATACCTGCCCCACCCTCCATCCTGTGCCATCTCAGACTCAGTAGGTAGAGAGAAGTGGCTGGACTGGAGAGAGGTGACTTGACTTCAGAGGGAAGCTGGACTTCAGGGAAAGATTACCTGCCTGTCCCATCCCTTCTCTAGCTTGCCTCTGCTGAGAGCCATTTCCATTGCTTAATAAAACTCTCTGCCTTCACCATCCTTCAAGTGTCTGGGTGACTCCATTCTTGGATGCCAGCCAAGAGATCAGGACCTACCGAGTGTGGGTACCTAAAAAAAGGCTGTCACACTGGCCTTTTGCTCTCACTCGCAGAGGGCAGTTGCCCCACACAATAAGGCAAGGGGCCCACTGAACTGATAACACCACACTGTCCATGGAGAGTGGAGCTAATAGAGCATTATAACATGCCCTCTGGAGCTTCAGGGGTCACAGGTACCCCCACCTGGGCACGACTGCAGGCCCTGCACAGAGCTTGCTCCTGCTGGTACCTAAGAGGCTGGCTGGGCCCTGCACTCACTTGATCACCTGCTCCCTTCCACAAGGGATTGAGTGCTGTGGACTGAGTAAATGTGGAACTCCCATTGCAAGTCCGGCGAAGGGATTGAGAAAATCCCTGCATCACTTCTGTAGTACATAGAGGTCTCCTGCAGTCACTAGAGGCCCCAGCAGTCCTTAGAGGCCTTAGCAGTTCCTACAGGCCCAGCAGTTTCTACAGGCCCCAGCAGTCCCTAGAGGCCCCAGCAGTCTCTAGAGGCCCCAGCAGTCCCTAGAGGCCCTAGTAGTCCCTAGAGGCCCCAGCAGTTTCTAGAGGCCCCAGCAGTTTCTAGAGGCCCCAGCAGATCCTAGAGGCCCCAGCAGT